GGCACTTTCTTAGATACAATGAACTCGATTAATTCTTCCTTTTTTAAGTTTTTAAGTTCTTTAGCAAACACACCAACCTCACCATTCGCCGCCATGTTTTTAATTAAAAATATAAATTGGGATTTATATCATCAAGATCATGTATTAAAATATAAATTGGGATTTATATCATCAAGATCATGTATTAAAATATAAATTGGGATTTATATTTTAATACATGATCTTGATGTATGTGTACGCTATTCTCTACCTATATCTATACTGTCCAAGATTGTTATATGACATACTATGTATAACGAGACTAGGAAAACACAGTGAAGCACTTAAATCTGTAATTGTCCTGAGGATGTCACGAAAAGTGACGAAACGTTGAAAATTGAGAAAATTTGGTGTTTTTCTTTGAAATTTGGCCTCTAATTTTCCCACTATTGACAACAAACTGAATAAAAATAAGGCTACCAATATCATTAATTAGATTATGTACAATAATATATTAGTTTCCACAGTCATAAAAATGGGGGGGAGAGATTGTGTCACGTTTTTCGTTTATAACTTTTTTTCCGTTCATTTCGCTTATTTAACGGCAGGACTATGAATATTATGGTCATTTCCTTCGGACTCGCTGTCGTTCTCTTCCCCCNAATTTTTTCCACATAACAAGGTGCCCTGGATCAATTAAAAATCGACGGGTCTCACCTTTTTCGAAAAAAAAGTTGTTTAACGAAAATATGAATTTTATGCAGAACTTTTTTACCACGCTGTATAATCTAGTGAGATGGCTACCTGATTAATATTAGAAAGTATTTTCATTTATAAGGCTGAGAAAAGCTTACCAGAAGTTTGTTATTTCCTTCATTTCCTATAAAATCTTCAAATTCCTTTAATGAGTCCTCATAAGCAATGTTAAAATACAGCTCTGTATTTAATAGTGGTATAATATTTTAATTGGGGAGGTATTTTAATTGGGAAGGTATTTTGCCACTGCTAAATAGGTAACTACGAACTTATTCTAATTTTTGGAATTTTTAGCGATATTAAAAATATATTTACCCCTTTTAACAGAAGTAGTGACCACCTTTCGAATAACTTGATAGCCAATTATAGAAATATTCTGAATATTTGGATATACAAAATGTCCTTTTTCCAGGCCCTTTTTTCTTAAACCGTTGATGGTGATTTCGTCGTTATCGATTATTTCAATTTTAGCAATATAGAGTCTTTCCCGTTTTGTGGTGGGAAATTTACATAATTATGCAAATTTATTTATTATTATTATATTATAATAAAGTCTCATACTTCTAGGTTAATATTTCCTGGCGGCAGATTTGTAAATTTCCGAGTTTTTGATGATAGCGACTCGTCAATTTCTTGAAGTGCTGTCACGATCAAACGATGTAGATGGAACTGGCATAGTCATTGTCATGGTCGGATAGTTCACTCAAATCTGACAAATTTAAAGCAGGTTCTTCTTCGTCTTCTACTTCTTTTTCTGATCGTTTTCTTGATTTGTTGGTTTTGGTGGCGTTTGGTGTAGAAATCAGACTTGCAACTATTAAGTAGGCTGTTGAAATGCTTTTTCCGGGTAAAATATTAATTTTCTTCCCTCTTTTTACAGCAGTTCCCGTAGACGCTTTTAGTCCAAGTGTTCAACTATTGCTTGGGTCCATGCCTGTTCATGCTGGTTATTTTCGTTTGTTGGATTGTTTCGCNCGCGTCAAGAAGGCACGTCAATATCGAGTCAATATCAAAGCGATGCTCACTGGTTTTTCAACTCGTGCATTTTGAATTCTTATCTCAAGGTGAAACAGTGAACCGTGTCAATCAACGCGTTTTATAACAGTTACATGAAAAAATCCGCAAAAAGAGACCAGAGTTGTGGCGAGACAATTCATGGTTTGTCAGTTTTGTGCCAAAACTCAGATTACCGTCCTCCTTCATCCTCCTTACTCGCTAAACCTGGGTCATACGATTTTTTCTTATATACGAAATTAAAATCAATGCTGAAAGGACACTGTTTTCAGACTATTGATGAATTAATGCAAATTCATCACAGACTTTAAAATCCATTTTAAATGAAGCTATCCAGGACTGCTTCGCGAAATGGAAAGACCGCTGGGAAAAGTGTGTGTGAGAGACAAGGACCAGTAATGTATAAAATTAATAATTAATAAAGTTATAAAAAATAAAATTGTATGAATATTTAAAATATATATATTTACTTATGTATTTATTTTGTTCAGTACCTACTTCTTTTGAAATAAATACGAGTACATCAGTAAATAGTAATAAATTTACGTCTACATTGGTTATTTTATGCTTCCAATTTTGTCAAAGAAGACCACCGCATGTAGTGTACCGAACAAGAACTTTTCTGTGGTAATAAAACCATTAAGGAACACACCATCCATTTAAGGAAGATCGTAAATTACTTAAATGGGAAAAGAAACAATACAAAGTCTTTATGGGTCTTTATCGGCCAGTATTGGTACAATTGTTGACAGTTGTTGGCCAGGTTATGGTTTCGTTTTTACGGTTTAAGTCAACATCAGCGATTGTAATTTCTCATTTGTTACGTCCTTGCTAGGTTCGTTACGGTAAATCATTTATAGACGCTGCTCGACAAAATGTTATGTATTTTCAAGTTGCGTTCATATTGCATTTAAAATTAGAATATAGGATGGTTAAAAAAAATCAATTTATCTATTTTGTGTAACATTTTAGTTTACTTTATACGAATCAATGACGGCTGTTCAAAATGGTCATATTTTGATCGTGAAGCGTTTTCTTGAGGATAATTTCTAGGCCTACATAGAGAAAAAATTTTGAAGGAAGTTTGGTAAATATAACATTCCCTTTAAGGACGAATTTAATTTTTCTTAGAAAACTCGACTTTTTTGTTAATAATGGCCAGAAAGAAATGGAAACAAAAGTAAATTGCGTTAAAGAAATAATGTTTTTATTCTACTTTTTTCAAAAATATGTGGTCCCATATTATGTCCACAAGGGAACTAAAGACAATTGTGTAAAGCTAAACACAGGTTAATAATATTAGTTGTCTTGATGAAATTTATAGAAGCAGTTAGAGGCTTCCGTTAAACAAAGTCCAACTTTGCAACTTGAACAGTGCCATCTTGTCCGATGAGGCTTAGCACGTGTGCTACAGTGCGCACATCTAACTTTGGTACCATGAAGTGATAAATGTGCACATTTGTCAAATTTTACTTCAGGGGGAACAGAAACTTTGAACTTATTTAGTACTGGACCTGTGCTTCTTCTACCTCTTGTTGGCACAGATGGATCTGCCCCGACTAGACCGATAGCAACAGCCAGCCTAAAATCTTTTAAATTTAAACTTCTATTATTCTGTAGTCGGTCTCTAAATATGATGTAGGCATTTACAAGACTCAAATCTAAAAAGTGCCAGAACAATCTGTGCCACCATTTTCTAGATTTTCGGTTTACTTTGTACAAGGAAACAAACATGTCTGACTGATCTACATAACCCATATGGGAATTGTAATCCTTTACCAACTGCAAGCATGTAATGTTTTTTGATGAACCATCCTTTTGTCTTCTCGAAACATTTTGAATGTCAGTTGGACTGTGAAAATTACTAATAAATAGAACAGGTTTGTTATCCATCCACTTTAGATAAAGCAAGCCCTCTTTGCTCATTGCCCAGTCGCAGGTTCCTCTTTCTACTTTTGTATTATTATTTACCAAGTCTTTGGGTTCATCTTTGCGCCTTCTTCGTATCGTCCCGCAAGCGTAAATTTTATCCTTGTACAGGTCATTCAGTAAACCAACTGTGGTAAAAAAGTTATCAAAAAACACTTTGTGATGATTTCCCACAAGTGAACGAGTTAAATCTTTGACGACTCTTGCTCCTAATCCTTGTTCTCCTCCATCAGATTTTCCGGTATATACCTGAAACTGTGATACAAATCCAGACTGATCTGCTCTTATCCATATTTTATAGCCCCTCTTGATTGGCTTGAGGGGCATATATTGACGAAAACCAATTCGGCCTTTAAATTTTACCATAGATTCGTCTATGCTTTGATATTCGCCAGGTTTATAGCAGGTTCCAAAGGTCTTCGTAAGTATGTCCAGCATTGGCCTAAGCTTATACAGCTTGTCAAATTCTGGTTGGTCTCGAGTTGGCTGAACAGAATTATCGTTGATATGTATGTTATATTGCTCAATAGCCACCCAAAACGATCACGAGACATAGAAGACGATATAAAAGGATCTCTCATCTGAATTTTAGATGACCAGTAGTCCCGATAACTAGGTTTCTTTGTAAGGCCCATCATCAAATTTATACCCAGAAAACATTTGATTTCCTCGGAGTTAGTTGGCAAAAAATGATCACCATATGCTTGAGTAGCATATAGATTGGTTTCAAAAGTTATTTTGTCGATGAGTTCCATTGTAAAAACACACAGAAAAATATCAAGAGGAGATTCAACATCTTCTGGAATAAAGGGACCAAACTCTTCTGTAAATGGGGACGGTTTGTTGACAAAGTCAGTATTTTGAGTCCACTCAACTGGTCTCTCAACAAAATGTGATAACGGCAGGTCATCTTCACTATCATATTCTAAGTTTATGTAATCATTTGTTGTCGCATCATTTTGAATATCTACAAAATCTTGATCATCAAGTTCTTCTATTTCTTCCTCTGTGGGGGCACTGGAAGTAAAGGAGCCTGCCTCTGAAGGAATTTGATCCAGAAAGAGAAAGGCTTCATCTGAAGTTATTTTACTTAGGTCCATTGTAGATAACCTGCAAGTAAGAAATTTTTTAGATAAAATTACTCTATGGCCTTGTGGTTTCATTCGGAACCACATAGTTTCTTACCAAATTTCATAACATGATTGTTTTNATCCTCAGGACAATTACAGATTTAAGTGCTTCACTGTGTTTTCCTAGTCTCGTTATACATAGTATGTCATATAACAATCTTGGACAGTATAGATATAGGTAGAGAATAGCGTACACATACAACAAGATCATGTATTAAAATATAAATCCCAATTTATATTTTAATACATGATCTTGATGATATAAATCCCAATTTATATTTTAATACATGATTTTGATGATATAAATCCCAATGGACTCCATAATCTTTTTTATACACAAAGAACCTCTTATGAAAATTTAAAAATCACAAATAGTTTTTTTTTAAGAACCCAGAGCCAGTTTTCACAAAATTTCCAGTTGCAAACATTAAATTTCCTTTATAGTAGTTTTGTAGGTCTTTTAAAGATGAAAAAAAAGTACTTTACTGTTTTCTCGTGGAAATGAACGGAAAAAAGTTATAAGCGAAAAACGTGAATTTACGTAAAAATTATACAATTAACCACCCTGTAAACAATCTCACCCCCCATTTTTGTGAATGTGGAAACTAATATGTTATTGTACATAACAGAAAGAAAATCATGTGGATGTTTGTCGGCAACTCCTTGAACAATCCAATGATGATGAAACATTCATTCAAAGGATCATAACAGGAGACGAATGCTGGGTTTATGGCTACGACATTGAGACAAAAGTTCAATCATCACAATAGACTGGCAAAGGATCTCCACGCGTCAAGAAGGCACGTCAATATCGAGTCAATATCAAAGCGATGCTCACTGGTTTTTCAACTCGTGCATTTTGAATTCTTATCTCAAGGTGAAACAGTGAACCGTGTCAATCAACGCGTTTTATAACGGTTACATGAAAAAATCCGCAAAAAGAGACCAGAGTTGTGGCGAGACAATTCATGGTTTGTCAGTTTTGTGCCAAAACTCAGATTACCGTCCTCCTTCATCCTCCTTACTCGCTAAACCTGGGTCATACGATTTTTTCTTATATACGAAATTAAAATCAATGCTGAAAGGACACTGTTTTCAGACTATTGATGAATTAATGCAAATTCATCACAGACTTTAAAATCCATTTTAAATGAAGCTATCCAGGACTGCTTCGCGAAATGGAAAGACCGCTGGGAAAAGTGTGTGTGAGAGACAAGGACCAGTAATGTATAAAATTAATAATTAATAAAGTTATAAAAAATAAAATTGTATGAATATTTAAAATATATATATTTACTTATGTATTTATTTTGTTCAGTACCTACTTCTTTTGAAATAAATACGAGTACATCAGTAAATAGTAATAAATTTACGTCTACATTGGTTATTTTATGCTTCCAATTTTGTCAAAGAAGACCACCGCATGTAGTGTACCGAACAAGAACTTTTCTGTGGTAATAAAACCATTAAGGAACACACCATCCATTTAAGGAAGATCGTAAATTACTTAAATGGGAAAAGAAACAATACAAAGTCTTTATGGGTCTTTATCGGCCAGTATTGGTACAATTGTTGACAGTTGTTGGCCAGGTTATGGTTTCGTTTTTACGGTTTAAGTCAACATCAGTGATTGTAATTTCTCATTTGTTACGTCCTTGGTAGGTTCGTTACGGTAAATCATTTATAGACGCTGCTCGACAAAATGTTATGTATTTTCAAGTTGCGTTCATATTGCATTTAAAAATAGAATATAGGATGGTTAAAAAAAAATCGATTTATCTATTTTGTGTAACATTTTACTTTACTTTATACGAATCAATGACGGCTGTTCAAAATGGTCATATTTTGATCGTGAAGCGTTTTCTTGAGGATAATTTCTAGGCCTACATAGAGAAAAAATTTTGAAGGAAGTTTGGTAAATATATCATTAAAATCACCCGGAAATGGTTACATATGTTTATAAAAAATTTAAAGTAGAAATATTTTGTAAACCGTTTGCTCTTCATAATGATTTTCCAGATCACTACCCAGAGGGCTTTAGGAATCCAAAAACTTTCTTCCAACTGTAGATTGGAAATAAAAACAATTACTATACATTTAAGATGATACTGAATTTTAAGGAACTCCCTGGATGTTATTTTACGCTGTTGTGAAAAATGACAGAAACTCTTTCAGGTAGACCCAAAATAATTTGGAAAAGGAAGAATATTATGCAAACAATAATATTAAAAACAACTACTCCACAGGCTATATGCCTCGATTGGCATTGAATTACACTTTCAATATCTAGTAAACAACTATCTATGATCATTCATCAGGAGAGTATACTAGATATAGATCAGTTTCGTACTAATTAGTTCTCGCCAGCATGCCTCTATCTTGTGGCAGTCGGGGACAAGTAAATATTTTCCGCCAGTAGTCATAAAGTACCAATAACATTTAAAGATATGAAGGATGGCATATGCTTTATAGGTTATATCTTACTAACACTATAGGCAAAGAGTTTATAAAAGGTATTTTGAAACGAAATTAGTTTTATATAAATAAATCCAATGTATTAAAAACAAATTTTTTCAACATGTCATTTATACATTCGCGAAATATTTAGAAAAATAGATTTATCTAAAAAATATATATTTTAGTAATATTGTATTTTCAGATCAATGTCGTTTCAGATCTAAACTTTTTGTTTATATTTACCTGAGAAATGTTTGCATGATATTTGTGTATTTAATCCTGAGACACCCTGTATAGTATATTTTTCATAGAAACAAAAAATACCCGAAGAGAGCAATTTGGAAATTTTTTTGTAAACATATTTTTTTATTAACTAACTGTATTAAAGCTATATGAACACTAATTTTAGATTCACTGAGATATTCCATGGTTGTGTTTGTCACCTAATTTATTATTAATTAACATTTTCTAGAAAACAGTTTCTTGTGACATTTTTCGTCGTCGTCGTCTTTAAATTAAATTTTCTCCTTCTTTGAAATCATTCTGCTCTTATGATTTTTTTTGTCGGTTTCAGTTCAATAATTACATTTTCTGTGTTTCATTATCTGTCATTCTAATTTGACTTAAATTGGTTGTAGATATGGATAATGCCAAATACTTTTTGTATATCTGGTATTGTCTACATGAAAATACTGGTTTTGCACGTGCCTGATGGTACAATATATCAAATGAGTGCTTAATAAAGGTTTTACCATACACCGCAGTTCAGTGGAATAGTCAGTTTTGGGTTAAATGACCGACAGTTGGTAGCAAACAATACACTTAAAGGACTACAAATGTCGTCCTTAGTCTAGTCAAACGTGTAAAATTCATTGTCGAGGTTGATTGGTTGATTTTTAACTAGCTTATAGTGCATATCAAGGTATAAGATTGTTAAAGAGATAAGAAATAAAAGTAAATTACAAAACATAAAGTATCTCTTGGGAAAAAATATTATAAGTATAATCAGTTACTACTAATAGACAATAAAATTTTTGCACTTATGGCCATATACAGGGTGCGACATTAGTGCGTCGAAGTACGATATCTCCTTTATTATAGAGGATACCAGAAAAAGTTATTTACAAAAATTGTAGCCAACATAAAACTACACAATTAAAAATTATTTTCGAATATACAGGGTGTTATGTGTTACCAGGGTGAATCAAACACCCTATATATTATTTCAAATTTAGATTAAGCTCATCTCTCCCATCTTCCAGTATAGGGTTTAATTATGTTATACAGGGTATTTCAAAAGTTATGGTCAATTGTATACGAGAATCATTGCCATTTCAGCGTCCTGTATACCCTAAACGGAACAACTTAACAATATTTTTTTGCAGGCATAACTTTTTTACATTGGTGCAGTTTTACGAGAAAGTGCTATTTCTTTATTATTGCAACAGTTGGATATAAGGGCGAGCCAAAACTCGAGCACATAATTTTATAAAAGAACATAAAGTGTGTTTTCAGTTTTTAAAATAAAATACAGGATGATTAATTTAAAAAAAATTGAAATAATTATGTGCATTATGTGCTCGAGTTTTGACGCGCCTTATATTCAACTGTTGCAATAATAAAGAAATAACACTTTCTTGTAAAACTATACCAATATCAAAAAGTTATGTCTGCAAAAAAATTATTGTTAAGTTGTTTAGTGTATACAGAACGCTGAAATGGGAATGATTTTCGTATACA